TTTCTACTTGTGTATGTACTTCATACCCCCTTTCTCCATGGTCTCTCAAAATATCACTGAACTGTCATCATTAGCGCTGCCGCGGCCATTACAGTATTCATTTTCAGCGGTCAATGGTAATCGATCCCAACCGTATATTCCCCTACTTTTGAGGCAGCCGCCCAGGAGTGGGGGGGGGACATGTAGAGGACTCTCTGTGCAAAAATGGGGTCATTGTAACACAAAATTTCACTTTAAAAAGTTGGTTCAAGTGCAGGCTCAGAGGGATTCAGGAGGTGCTTCGAAAAATACGGCTTTCGAAGCTGAACAGTTGCCTGTTGGAGGGTGCGCACGCCTTTTGACTTTATCCAGAATCGAAGAAATTCTTGGTCTTTCTTCACTACTTGATTGTAGGCAGAACCAGCCCCCCCCCCTTCCAGACAAATTGTCTATCTTTCCGAGTGTCGTGTACTTCTCTTCGTGAACTTACTTCGATTCTGCAAAATTACCATATTATTCCAGAATGATGCTTGGGTTACTTCTACAGTTACTCCTTATGGCATCATCTGAGGCGTCTCCAGTGCCTGTGCGCAAATCGTTCCCGACGGCGATTATCGTCGGAGTCAAGAAAGCTGGCACCCGGGCTTTGCTGGAATTTCTTCGATTAAATCCGAACATCCGAGCACCCGGACCAGAAGTGCATTTCTTCGACAAAAATTACCACAAAGGACTAGACTGGTATCGGTAAGTTCATTTCATATTCCGTTTCCTTCTGCTGATTTCCTTTTCTGAAGAACTACTTGACTTTCAAGCCGGTTCTCGAGCTCTGTCGTTTTCCTCAGCATACTATTGAAATTTCTCATCGATGTCATCTCTTATCTCGTCCACCCACCTGGGCCATATCTTCGGGTACAAATGACACCCACTCCCGGATGGGTTCTCGTCACCTTGCCAGATTTATTTATAAATATCCCTTCTGGTTATGAGATGCTTATCAGTATGATAGCATTAGAGCGACCTGATCGTCTCCCCGAGTATCACGGGGTGACGGGTAGGCTGTTCGCCTCAGGCAAGGCATTAGTGCGATGCACAGCAGGGTTGCCAGTGTTCCGGGTAATTTTATTAATAACATTGCTAGGCCTGGATATGAGAATGTGAGGCTGAAATATTTGCACTGTGGGTTACTGTAGATTCAGTCCTAGGAAAGCACAATTCATTACGGTAATGACATTGAACTACCGCAATGTGGCCGGACAAGTCATCAAAGACCTTCAGAATTTGACCGTTGATCATCTGAAGTTCGTACTTCACCAAAGAGTTTCACAATGACAGTGTAGCCCGAAATTTCTCTGTATTACTGTAGAGAATAACTTTAAAAAGTTGGTGCAATTCTTTGTCAAGCTTAGGAATATGAATCTGTTTGAAAAATGGTTGCTAGAACATTGACTTCTTGACTTCTGATGAAGCTAGACTCCATATGAGCAAACATGCCTACGGTGGCTCGTATATACATATTCTCCGGGTAGGATCTGCATTAATTACTGACAGAGTACTTTTTCAGAGGTCTTGAATTAACCCGCAGGCGTTTCTTGTCCTCTTTGCATTCCTGACACTCTCACCCTCTAGCAGATTATCAGTCTATGGGAATGACTGAGAGTAGTACAGCATTGTTGCGCGGTCCTTCCTGTTAGCTGGAGAACGATCTGTGGAGGAGAGGTCTGTATCTGACTTGGAGAGAAGTTTCCCATCCATTCCTTTCCCGCATGCGCTGCACAGTTGCTGTCTGCGCACGCCTCCTAACTCCTGATTTGGTAGTTGATTGGGATGACGACCACTCCCTATCGAGGCCAATTCCTCAAGAGAAACTGAAAAAACTCTCGAGGAGCTCGGAAAATCGGGAAATATTCGAGCTGTAGAAAGCAACAGGACGTACTTCATCCATACTAGTAACGGCGCGTTTTTGGAGGGATAATGCCGTCTTTGTGACAACTGCAGCCATGTCCTTGTCCAGCAAAATACAGAATGACAATTGTGCCAGCATATCCATCAATACCCTACAAAACACATCCTATGCCCCTTTGAAGGATATACGCGACCACGCCCTCCCCATCTGCGGGGTATATCATGTAGATGACGGAACGGATCGACGACCCAGGTGTCTTGCAAGCTCGGTCCCTTCGCTGTAAGATGACTGCTGCGAAACTGTCTGGAAGAAGTCATTTACGTGGGCATCAACTGGTTCTCAGGACTAAAATGGCTCCTGCGCTCAGTGGCGGACTAGATCCGGACATCGCTCAAGTTCATTGATTTCGTACATCATTGATTCCGATCTGTTCTGATCTGGTACTGGTACTGATTCTGAGAGGCCTAGCACGTGCCGTTCAAGATCAATAAGATTGGATTTCTGCTCAGCGGCACTTAACAATGCTCAATCAAACACCTCAATGTTTCCTTTTAAAGGTCCCAGGGGTGGCGCCATCTGAAGGAAGTCAATCCATAGCCTCTCTTTCCACCTGTCATGGTCCAGTAGTAGTGGTAGTACTGTAGGCCAATAAGTCTACACATAGTTCTTAGATCGTACACACCTTCCCATCTCCTCTACGTTCCGAGCAATTGGCTAGATTCTTTTGAAAAACGACTCTGTTTTCATGAACGAAGAAGTAAAGGTGTGCGCGAGAGACTGCAGTGAGGCACTTAGCTCTCAATTAAATTTCGTTTTGTGTCGGTGATTTATCTACGGCAATAAACGTGCACAAACGATTGGCCGGCTCGTCGTTGATTACTCACAAGACCTTGACTAGGAGTCGGGCATTACTACCGTCGGCAGCATAGACGGTGGTTCTGCTTCCACACCTAACACACAGAGATCTTAATGGAATGAAGCTTCTGATTCGAAACATACAGGTTCATATATTAAACCTTTGGAAAGAAGGTCATTGGGTAAATGTTTGACCTGAAACGGCAAAAATTTTGGATCATAGATTTTCAAAAGGCAAAGCAGGAACTCTACCCTAACACCCAGAACCAGTGCAGCTCACACTGAGGGAATTCCAGAGCGCTCGAGGCAAATA